GGGTCCCGCGCCCCTCCTGCCCTTCTGCCCGCTGCCAGCCCCCACTCTCCTGATCCTGACCTAAAGTACAGCCCCGGGAAATGGGAGAATACAGATTCCCACCCCACCCCCGCTCCTCCGGGCTTCAGGCTCGAAAAAGGGAAAAGTCCCACTTTTGCCGGGTCCCTAGGAGCTCGGCACCTGAGGCAGCCGCGCCGAGCGCCGGAGGCCGACCCGGGCTCCGGGCTAGCAGAGTGGAGGCGCTGCCGCGAAACCCATACCTGCGGCTAAGAGCGGGTGAGTCACAGCACCGTTTTATACCTTTATGACATAACTTTTTTTTCCGCCTCGGTCTGCTCTACTCCCCTGTCATCTGTAGCAATCATGAAGAGGAAGAAGCTGAGAGCAGATGTCTGTGTGATAGGGCAGGCGGACCCGAGGCGGGCCGGCCTCCCTCCGCCCGGCCCCTCCTCCCGCCCCCCTNAGCCTTGGGGACTGAGCTGGAGGCGACCGTCCGGTTTCTGATAGGGAAAGGTCAGGGGGAGGGGACGTCTCCCTAAAACTGCGAGCGAGCTGGGAGAGCCCGGGCGGCGGGGCGGGAGCGCACCTACTGGGCTAGAGAGGAGCCAGGCCGAAGCCTGCGGGGGTCTGCGGCGGCGCCCGGTCCCATCTCGGGCTTGGAGGGGCTGGGCTGGGACTCCAGGCGCTCAGTTGGTTGCTAATCGGTCCCGGACATCGGTGGGAAATTCTCTTCCGAACAAAGTCTCTTGGCTCCTTTGAGGCCCTGGCGGTGGATTGCCCACGAGTCCTGAGGCGAACCAGCTGCAGTGACCCGGCCATAGGCGCTGCGTTGGTGATAGGTTGCGTGATGGTGCATGTGTGAGTTTCTGAGTGTGGCTCTGAGTGTGTGTGTGTGCGTTTAGTGTGACCATATGTTTCTGAGTGTGTCGTAGCCTCTGTAGAAGCACTAGGTTTCTTTAAGTAGCAATAAAATGAAGTCTTTCTAAAATGATTAAGAATCCAGAAAATATTCTTGTTTGGCAAAGTTTTTAGAATGTTATTAATCTCATTTTGAGAAATGTGTTTTAACTTGTCTTCCAAACAGATAGCCCCCCCACCCCACCCCGTGCTTTGTTCTTTTAAATCTTTCTTCCTTGAAATCTGGCAACAGAATCACGTTAAATCCTTGAACCAAACAAATCTCTTAAATCAGCAGGGGAGCAGGAGCGGGTGAAGATGTGCAGTTAAGGAAATAAAAAAAGATAAAAGCATTGGATTACAATTCATTTTTTAACAAAAAAGGGGGGGATGTCACATTGTAAGGAAAGGAATGAGAGTGAAATTAAATCTACCTGGAAATCAGAAGAGGGGGAGCCCTCCCTAAATACAGCCTGCCCCTGGGACTGCAAGTCAGCCCCATCGGTTTTGTGTAAATGTATCTGCAACCGCGTGGGTCTGCACACGCTTCCCAGCAGCAGCAGGACCTTGGTTCCATCTGTAAAGAACAGGGATGCTTAGCTCCGGGGCCTGATTGGGGCGGGGGAGC